AAAAAAAAAAAAAAAAAAAAAAAAAAAAAAAAAAAAAAAAAAAAAAATCAAATCAGGGCTGAAATCAATAAAATAAAAAAAAATAAGCAAACAAATAACAAGCAAACAAACAAAAAAATCAATGAAACAAAGAGTTTGTTCTTTGAGAAGGTCAGTAAGATGAGTGCTTAGTGAAAAATAATCAAAAAGTAGAGAGAAAAGATCTAAATTAACAAAATCAGAATCAAAAGAAGGAGGGGACCCAAGAGAGGATGTTTGCATTTCACATGGAAGGAGAGATAGACTAGATAGAAGTAATGGCTGAAGAGAGAGGACAAGTTAGGAAAGGCAGCACAGAGTGTTAAGAGATCAGACCTGGGGAGATTGAGGGTGAGAGGACAGAAGGCCTGTAGAAAAAATGAGGATCTGAGGGATGGATATCTCTGTGACAAGCTGGAGCCCTAAGTTAGGGTAAGTTCATTGGAGGATATGAGGGGAACTCTAGCAGAGAATTCTAGTAGCAGAGGCCATAGGGACTGAAGAGGACACCCTCTGGCTAGACTAGTCCTCTAGCAGAGGGAGGGGAACACCACCCACCTACAAAAACATTGACCCTAAATTTGCCCTGCTTACAGGATGTGCACTGATAAAGACAGAGCAAATAGAACAAAGATTGAGGAAATGTCCAACAATGCCTAGTCCAAGAAAAGATCCACCCTATCAGAAAGTGCCAACCCCTGACACTATGAAGGATACTTTGCTAAGCTTGTAGACAGGAGCCTGTCAGAATTTTCCTGAGAGACTCTGCCCAGAAGCACCTCAAAACAGATGCTGACATTCATAGGCAAACATTGGGCAATACATAGGAGGTCTTGTAGAAAAGTAGAATGTTGATATAATGTTCTTGTGGAATGTATACAATTTACCCTTATTCATCCACAAGCTGATTTCTCTGCCCCACTATCTAGTTTCAATCTGGACATTGCATTGCAATGCTTGTTCTAAGCATCATCTATCTCAAATTTGTGTAAACATGCTACCATTTGTTATCTGCATTGCCAACAAAACAACCAGCCAATTCTGAACAATGGAGAGAAAAGGGTAAGACATCCTGGTCTGGAAGGGAGGAGAAAGAAGCCCATGGGAAGAAAGGCTGAGAGATATAGCAGAGAGGCAAGAACCTGAAAACATTAGGATAAATGAACTGGACCTAAGATATGACTAAAAAACAAGTATAATGTGGGAAATCTGAATGGGAGGAAGCTATGCAGGCTTGGAGGTTCAGGGTGGAGTAATTATTGCCCAGCATTGTGCTCTAAGTTAATTAAGTAAATCTTAGTCTCTATGTAGTGACTTGGGGATACAGCTGGTTTAAGAATAATCACACTTTAAATAAAAAATAAATCAATAATAATATTAATAATTGTCATAAGTGGGAGGCGAGAGAAAAGGACTTGGAGGTGACAGGAGCTCCACAAGAAGACCAACAGAGCCAACTAACCAGGGACCAGAGGGATTTGCTGAGACTGAAACATCAACCAAGGACTTTGCACAAACTGGACTTAGGCAAAGATGTACCAGATAGGCAGCATAGGCTTCATGTGGGTCCTCTAGTAAGGGAAGTGGGGACTGCATCGGACAAGGACTCTTGCCAGCTTTTTGATCATTTCCTCCTGGCAGGAGTGCCTTGCCAGGCCACAGGGGAAGAAGACATGCTCAATCCTGACATGACTTGATGTGCTGCAGTAGATGGCAAAGGGAGCTCCCCTTTTCTGAAGGAATAAAAAAAATTAAAGGGGGGCGGAGGGACATATAACGACAGACACTAAGGATATACAGAGAATCCTAAGGCCATACATTGAAACCTGTACCCCACAAAATTGGAAAATTAAAACAAATGGATAATTTTCTCAATACATACTACTTGCCAAAGTTAAATCAAGATCAAATAAGCAATTTAAACAGACTTATAACTCCTACTGGAAGATAAGGAGTCATTAAAAGTTTCCAAGCCAAATAAAAGCTCAAGGCCAGATGGAATTAACACAAAATACTATCAGACTTTTATAAAAGACTTAATGCTAATATTCCTCAAACTATTACACAAAACAGAAACAGAAGAAATATTACCCAACTTATTTTATGAGGCCACAGCTACTCTGATACCCAAACCACACAAACACAACTACAGATCAGATTCTTTTATGAACATAATGCAAAATGTCTCAACAAAGTACATGTAAACCACATCCAAGAACACATCAAAATGATCATTCATTGTGATTTAAAAAGGCTTCATCCCAGAGATGAAGGGATGGCTCAATATATGTAGGCCAGTAAATATAAGCCACCATATAGACAAAGTGAAGGACAAAACACACACACACACACACACACACACACACACATGCACGCACACACATGATCATCTCATTTGATGCAGAAAAGAGTTTTGACCAAAGTACAACACCCCTTCATGATAAAAGTTCTAGAGTCAAAGTACATACCTCAACATAATACAAGTAGTTTACAGCCCATAGACAGCATCAACTTAAATGGAAAAACTCAAAGCAATTCCACTGAAAAATTAGAAACAAAACAAAGGTTGTCTACTTTCTTGATACCTGTTAAATATAGTATTTGAAGTCTTAGTTAAAGTAATAAGATAACTGAAAGAAATAGGGGACTACAAATTGGAAAGAAAGAAATCCAAGTATCTTTATTTGTAAATGATATGATAGTATACATACGTGACCTTGAAAATTCTACAGGGGGAAATGGATAAACAGCTGATAAACACTTTCAGCAAAGTGGCAGGATTCAAAATTAACTCTGAAAAATCAGTAGCTTTTTAATATACAAGTCACAAAAGGACTGAGATGGAATCAAGGAAAGAATACATTTCACAATAGCTTCAAACAATATAAAATATATTGAAGTAACTTAACCAAAAAACTGAAAGACTTATATGATAGAAGTTTTGACACTGAATAACATACCAGAAGATAGAATGTTCATGTTCATGAATCAGTAATATTAATACAGTAGTAATGGACATCCTACCAAAAACCAAAATTTGTAGATTCAATATAATCTTTATCAAAATTTAACACAATTCTTCACAGAGCCTGAAAGGACAATTTTCACCTTTATATGGAAACACAAAGAGAGAGAGAGACAGAGACAGAGAAGGGATAGTTTTAAACAAACTTCTGGAAGTATCACCATCCCCAACCTCAAATGATAATGCAGAGCTATAGTAATAAAAACAGCATGCTTCCTTACTGACAGGAAGCAGACATATTGATCAGTGGAATCAAACTGAAGATCCAAACATAAATCCACAGTCCTATAAACACCTGATTTTTTGTAAAGAAGGCAGAAATACACACTTACATATTAAAATCCAGAAACATGACTACTCTGGCTGAAACACAGGTGTGCACCTAGCACACAGCTTTAGTGCTTCTGGCTGAAATACACACACACACTCTTAGTACACACCTTTAATTCAAAACCCATATTTGAAAGTGATGTCTAATTGAGAAACAAGGTGACAAATGAAAGAAAGATTTGACAGAATAGGATATGTCCCACTCTCACAACGGGGGAGAGCAGCACAGAGTGAGAGTGAGAGGGGGCTGTTTTATTGGGAGAGTTTTACAGAGACAGGTGGAAAAGAGAACAAACTAGACACAGGTGAAGAAAGAATGAGCCAAAGGATGAGAAAGAGCCAGAAGATTAGAACACATTGCTAGAGTTAGTTTAATACCAAGCAGAACAATTCAGTCAGAAGTGAGAGAAGCCATATCGAATCCGTCAGCTTGGAAAGGAGTTTGAGCCAGAATAGTTGAGTCGAACCAGCCAGCCAGAATTCAGAAAGAGTTAGAAAGGGTGAGCAGTAAGATTCAGAGGCTAAAAACATTCTAGGCCTAGATTAGATTGTATGGAGGCTAGAAGCTTCTGGGACTAGGCCTAGGTTAGGAGACAGAGGAAATAAGCCTCCAAGACAACAATTGAATCAGGTGAATAAAAGTTATTTTTACACTTGAGTAGCTGAGATTACAGGCCTGAGCTCCCAAACACAGCTTTCAGTTCAGGATTTTTATTTTTGTGCTTTTGTTTTTGTTTTGTTGTTGTTGTTTGTTTTTTGTTGTTGTTGTTAGCTTTAGTTTTGTTTTTTTCGAGATAGTTTGTGTGTGTGCGTGTGTGTGTGTGTGTGTGTGTGTGTGTGTGTGTGTGTGTGTGTATGTGTGCGTGTAGCCTTGGCTGTCCTGGAGCTAAACTAGCTCTGTAGACCAAGTTGGCCTAGAGTTCACAGAGATCTGCATGCCTCTGCCTCCTGAGTGTTAGGATTAAAGGAGTGTGCTGAAATACACTCTTTAAAAAAAAGCATCTTCAACAAATGCTGCTGGTTAAACTGGGTAACTACATGTAGAAGACTCCAAATAGATCCATATTTATTACCCTACACAAAACTCAACTTCAAATGAATCAAAGATCTCAATATGAAACCAGATACACTAAACTTGGTCGAAGATAAAGTGGGGAATAGCCTTGAACTCTTTGGCACAGGAGACAACTTTCTGAACAGAACATCATTAGCATAGGCACTAAGATCAACAATCAATAAATGGGACCTCTTGAAATTTAAAAGCTTCTATAAGGCAAAAGACACCATCCAAAGGACAAAGAGGCAGCCTACAGGTTGGAAAAAGATTTTTACCAGATCTACATCCAATAGAGGTCTAATATTCAAACGATATAAAGAACTTTAAAAAGTGGATATCAAGAAAACAAATACCCTGCTACTAGAAGCATTGCAGGTGTGGCAATGTGAGTGTCAGTAGGTGACAGAGAGGAGAGAAGTTATGCCTACACCCAAGATAGTCACAATCAGTGTGAATATCTGGATGATTAGTAGACTGACATTCTCTGCAAAAGGTGAGCCTGAGACAACCTTCAGCACACTGCCATGGAGGCACGGAGGCCCAAACAGACTTCCAGGGTAGGAAGCAAGCTGGAGACAGAAGACACATCCCACCCCACCCCTGTGGGGCTCAGGAGAGAAGCAAGCCCAAGATGACCACCAGTCTCACACCATGGGGTCCAAACAGAGAGCAAGCCTGATATGGTCACCAGTCTAGTGCTGAGCTGGCCTCAGCTGGCAGCGGGTGGGTGGGGGATCAGACCATGCCTGAGATGATCCCTGCCCCGTGCTATATTTCACAGGCGAGGCATAGCAATCCTGAGACAGCTCCTGAGACAACCCCAGATACATAGACACCCTGGCAAGCAAGTGGTGAAGAAATGGAAAAGAAAGAGAAACAGAAGGATGTGGGCACAATGAAAAGAAGCAGAACTGGAGACTTGAGGGTAGTGGGGAACAGCCTGATGTAAGAAGTTGGTGATGCCTCCTGGGAGCATGGTGGGGTCCTGGCCTGTCCCAGAGGGCCAGAGCAGCAGGGCTCTGTTACCACCAAAGGCCAGGCAGATGTCACTGATCTGGGCTGCAGCTTGGGGATATGTTGAGACCTGCTCAGCTGTGCAAAACTGTCCCCACTCTTCACCTAGGCATCCTGGGAGAGCAGGCATGAAAACAAGAGAGCTGACCCTGCCTTCAGCCAACTGCAGTATGTAGTAGAGCAGGCCCTGCGCATGGTCCAGGAACCACAGTAGAAATGGCCCTCATTGCAGGAGTTGTAGGTGAGACAGCCCTGAGGGCATGAGCCTGGGAGAGTTGGCCTGCCACTCATCCCTTATGCAGTGGCATGGATGAGGGAGAGATATCCTCCTCCCTGCTTGATTGTCTCCTTCTATGGCAGGTAGGAGACCTGGCCATGGGGCCATGAGGGAGGGAGAGCTTTCCCTGTCCCTCACCAGCTGCAGCACTCTGGAGACTGGACCCTGCACACTGCCTGGGCAGCACAGCAGAGCTGATGCCTGTGGGGGCACAGGCGAGGCAGCCCCAAAGATGTGAACGAGTGAAAGCCAGCCTTGACTCTTTACTGCGTAGTGGAGTGGATAAAGGAAAGATGCCTTTCTCCCCTCTCTCATCCCTCGCTACCTATGGCAGGTGGGAGAGCTGGCTCTGAAGTTATAAGAGTGGGAGAATTGGCCCTGTCTCTTGCCTGCTGCAGTACTTGGGAGAATGGTTCTGCACCTCACCTGGGCAGCACAGTGGAGCTGACCCTGATGGGTTAGCCCTGAGGGCATGAGAACTAGAAAGCTTGCTCTGCCTTTAGTATGTGGCAACAATGGATGGGCCAGCAGGGGGCGGGGGAGTAAAGCTGGCCCCTGTGGTGTGAATGCAAGAGAGCTGACAGGCTGACCAGCTCAGACAGCTCTCAGACCCAGATCCAGGGCTTTCAATTGGTCCCAACATCTACCCCATTAATTAACTGCTGGAGCATGAAGGGGCCAGTCCTACATATCCAAAACTACGGGATCTCCATTACTCAGAGTAACAAAGGATATCTTAGAGGAGTTCCAGTAAGGTCCTAGTATTGATTGAGTAGCAGAAACCAGAGGCCTCATACCAAACCAATAAGTCATTATAGTGAACATTTGCAAACAAAGAAGTTTGGAGAAAGACACACAGGGTATATACTCACTCATATAGACATATAATATAGGATAAACCTACTAAAATCTGAACATTTAAAGAAACTAATCAAGAGGGAAGACTGACTAAAATGCTCAATCCCCATCCCAAAAGGCAAAGAGGATGGACATCAGAAGAAGAAGAAAACAGGAAACAAGTTAGGAACCTGCCACAGAGGGCCTCTGAAAGGCTCTATCCTGCAGACTATCAAAGCAGACGCTGAGACTTATGGCCAACTGTTGGGCAGAGTGCATGGAATCTTATGAAAGAAGTGTGAAATAGTAAGATCCAGAGAGGACAGGAGCTCCACAAGGAGAGCAACAGAACCAGAAAATTTGAACACAGGGGTCTTTCCAGAGACTCACACTCCAACCAAGGACCATGCATGGAGATAACCTAGCACCCCTGCACAGATGTAGCCCATGGCAGTTCAGTGTCCAAGTGGGTTACATAGTAATGGGAAGAGGGACTGCCTCTGACATAAACTGATTGGCCTGCTCTTTGATCACCTCCCCCTGAGGGGAGTGCAGCCTTTCCAGGCCACAGAAGATGACAATGCAGCCAATCCTGATGTTATCTGATAGACTAAGATCAGAAGGAAGGAGAGGAGGACATTCCCTATCAGTAGATTTGGGGAAGGGCATGCATGAAGAAGGGGGAGGGAAGGTGAGATTAGGAGAGGAGGAGGGAGGGGTTTATGGGGGATACAAAGTGAATAGAGTGTAATTAATAAAAGTTTAAAAAGTTTAAAAAAAAAGTGGGACACACTGTGACACACTACAACTGCTAAGAGATTTTTTTCTGCCTCTGTTATGGGGGAGGTGGCAAGGATGAAAGGAAAATAAGGGAAGGGGAGATGAGTGGAATTGGGATACATGATGTGAAATTCACAAATAACTAACAAAAAATTAAAAAAAATAAAAAGAAAACAAATAATCCATTTTTAAAATTTTATTTTTATTAACTACAATTTATTCACTTTGTATTACCCCTGTAGCTCCCTCTCTCCCTCTCCCAACTGCACCCTCCCTTCCCCTTCTCCACCTGTGCCCCTCCCACAGTCTAGGAAAGGCTGTTCCTCCCCCTTTCCAGGCCACAGAGGAAGACGTGCAGCCACTCCTGATGAGACCTAACAGACTAGGATCAGAAAGAAGGAGAGGAGGACCTCCCCTATCACTGCAGCCTTTTTGTTAGGGGGAGGTGATCAAAGAGCAGTCCAATCAGTTCATGTCAGAGACAGTCCCTATTCCTATTACAATGGAACCCACTTGGACACTGAACTGCCATGGGATACATCTGTGCAGGGGTTCTAGGTTATCTCCATGAATGGTCCTTGGTTGGAGTATCAGTCTCAGAAAAGACCCTTATGCCCAGATTTTTTGGTTCTGTTACTCCTGTCCTCTCCACACAGAAACCAATCTACACCTACAGGCTAGTATTCTTGGTACTGGGAAGTGCTCTGCATTCTACTAAAAAAGAAATGTAACCACCAACCCAGCTACAAACACTGTGATGTACAGCGGTACCTGCCCGCAAGGCACACTAGTGTAATGGTGGCACAAACCTTGTAGAGTAACCACCCACTATCTGGTTGGAGGCCTACTCCACGAGATGGAAGCCACTCCTAACGCTGCGTGGGTGACTAAGACCCTGAGACTAGGTATCTTGGGAACCTAAGTTAAAAGCAAATTCTACTATTCTACTAAAGGAATATAATAACGTGACTACAATGACATTCTGCTACATTGCTAAATCAGTGCCAGAGAAGTTTCTCCTGCAGTAGACGGGAACAACTATAGAGAATCACAGCTAGACAATATGAGACACTTAGCTCTAAATGGGATCCTCTAATCCTTCCCCTTAGGCCTTAGGAAACTCTGTGGAAGAGAAGGCAGAAAGAGTATAAAAGCCAGAGAGTATGGAGAACACCAAGAAAATGGGGCCATCTAAGCACACCAGGACAGCAGCCTGCACAGGGCCTGCATGTGTCTGTGTCAGATGATGCCATAGAACCGAAAGGAGAAGAGGATGCACTCCCCATCCCTAATGTGGAAGTTATTTCAAGTTGATAACCACTTGCAAATGAAAATTCAGTTTTCTCCAAGGGAATCTCACTGGGGAAACGAACTACCTTAAGGTCAGACTGCATTCCCAGCAGTAGATAGCCAATAGAAAAATAACTCAATGGCATCTTTGAAGGCTCATCTCACAATGTCATGTCAGGGAGCTTTTCTTTCTTTCCCTTTATATTTTATCTCTCTCTCTCTCTCTCTCTCTCTCTAACCCCAAAGTCCTTTACGTATATATTATTATGATGATGGTTTCTGGCTTAATGTCTTCTCAGATCCTAAGTGAGGCAAAGTTGTGGTTATTCTTCCATCCTTTACATGATATTTCAAATGCTAAGGAGGGACTAGAGTGGTATTTCCCCTTTCGTAAATTTACTGTGCTTGCCTAGGGATGTGGAAATTGGAGGCCAAAGCTGATTATGAGGAAGAACACTGAACCTCCATGAGCTTCAAGCCTGCTAACTCCCACCTCCATAGCTATGGAACAGTAAACTTACTGGCTGGTAAGTTTAGAAAGATGCTGTTTTGTGCAGAGTCAGGCTCGGCAGAGTGGAAGCTGGCAAAGGTGGTCAGCCACAGACGGAGGATGATTTGCCCTGAGGCCTAGAGAAGACTCGGAATCGCGCTTAAGCTTCAAGCTTGGAGATATGGCTCGGCAGACAACAGCATACACTGCTCTTGCGCAGGAGCCAAGCTCAGCATTCATGGCAGACAGCTCACAAAGGTCTGTGACTCCACCGAGGGGTTACTGACACCTGTGTCCTTCAAGGGCACACACACACATTCAAATAATAACTAAGGGAACAAAGAGTTAAAGATGCATGATTTTTTTTTTAGCAAACTATACTTTTTTATTTTTTATTAATTACAGTTTATTCACTTTGTATCTGCCATAAGCCCCTCCCTCCTCCCCTCCCAGCCCTCCCCTCCCTCCCCCTTTTTCTCGCTTGCCCCTCCCAAGTCCACTGTTTGGGGAGGTCCTTCTCTCTTTACTTCTGATCTTAGTCTAGCAGACCCCATCAGGAATGGCTACATAGTCATCTTCTGTGGCCTGGTAGGGCTGCTCTTCCCTCAGGGGGAGGTGATCAAAGAACAGATGCATGATTTTAAATCAAGTGGTAGCACAAAAAAAAAATGTAAAGAAAAATACCTCTTTCAGAAAAAAAGAAGTGCAGATTTGTTACACAGAAATGTCCTCAGTGCAGACAGTGCCCTCAAAACAAGATAATACTGTGCTTATTGTTTTGAGCTGAAGGCAGT